TGGTCGGTTTTACATGTAGAAGTAAATATGTGTGTAGAAGTAAATATAAGTGATGACTATATAAATAATTACATTTATATTCTTATATATTATATCAAAAGGTTTTTAATGAACCTCTGTCGTATATCCTGTAGCATATCGATATCCCTTCTATGCTGTTCAATGGCACCCAGAGAAAAGCCCATTTGAGTGGATTGAGAAAGCTGGTATGGTGCACACGCTCTCTGCCATCAAAGCCACTTTCTACACTGCCCACTTCTTTGTTTCTGAAGGTTGGTCATCTAAAAAATGGAAATTGCAATATGAAGTTGAGAATCTCTCGTCTTGGCTTTCGTTAACCCTTTTAATTTAGCTTAACTTGGTGTTAAACCCTGGGTTTGTTTTAGTGGTCGACTGATATTGGTTTTTTGACAGCCGATACCGATATCTAGGAAAGCAGGGTGGCCGATGGCCAATATAATTTTATGTAATTTAATATTTAAGACATTTGAAATCATTTGAAAATGGAATAAAAAAATGTGTAAAATAAACATACTTATACTTTAGATGACAAGTATTTTTCACAAATAAATAAATATTTAATAAAAATATAATTAAAAAGGAAGTAAGCATTGTAACCAACAGGGCACTCAGTATTCTGGGAAGTTGTGTGCATTGGAAATCATATTTTTTTTCAAATAAAGCCATGGTAACACTCATTTTACATACAGCACGCAACTGAATCCGACTAAGTTTGCAAGGTTTGTGAAATTAAATGTTCATTAGTCATTCAAAGGTTTGTTTAAATGATATAAATGCGTATTTGCTGAATGCTGACGGCAAACGATAAAGTATTATAATTTGCCTTTCTATTACTAATAATATAAAAGCAATCGTTATAATACTTTTTGTATACATTTTAATTCCTTTGTTTAACCGTTCTACCTGATTATTAGATATACTTCTATCCGTATTAGACAGAACTATTAACGACGACAGCGAACAAGAGGGAGAATGTGAGCGCACTCTTAAGTGTTCAGGCTGCTGTTCTCAGCGCCGTCAAAATAAAAGGCCTCAAATTAGAAAAATGCCAAATATCGGCCGATATATCGGCCTTGGCGATATATCGGTCGACCACTAGTTTGTTTAAAAAAGAAAAGAAAAAAAAAAAAAAAGTCAAAATTAGCGTCTTTCTGACCACTTAATTTATGCCTTTATTTGCTGTTTGTCTTTTTCAGCAATGAAAAACCATCATCGGTTTTATTCGCAAAGTGAAGAAGAAAAAGCTCTGATTTACAACTTTCAGCCTGTCTTTAAAGGCCTGAACAGCATCTTTCTTCAAAATTACTACTTCGATTGAGTGTTCACACTATTCATCGTGGCAGAAAAAATATTTCTTTTATTTGTTTTTTTAAAGTATTGTTTTTATTTCTTTCCTCAAAGTTTGCCAAAACTTGATGTTTGGAATGCATAATTGTAACATTCATGATTCGGACTCACTTACGTAGCTCTTGATTGTTGATGTGAAGGGTTCTAGAATCATCATGACTGAATGTATTGTTACAGTTATATCCATTTCAGAAGTCATATTGTATAATATGTATCTTCTAGTGCCATTGTTCAGAAGTTAAACATTGTAATGTTTCACAGGGTTCAGTAGCATGACCAATGCAATGTTAAAATGTTCTATTACTTTGTCAGTTTTAGAGAAAATAAAATATAGATTTCAACTTTAAACTGTTATTTTAACTGGACAACAAACCTAAATATTTTAATTGTATGTGGTAATTCATTCACTACCCAGTAGGGGGCAGCAGTTGCAGTCCAAACTTCATGGTGCGTTTAAAAAGGGTCGGACAAGACTTCTCAAAACATTTATTTTGCTTTTTTAAAGAGGTGGGATAACATAAAATTACCAGAAAACGACGAGACCTAAATCTCCTTACAATCAGATACATAAAGCAGGTACAAAATCAAAATGGAAAAAGTGCAAATTTGCTAATAGCTCTCGTACCAGGACACTAAGGTACAAAACGTCAACAGCGTTCTACACTGGCGTCAAACTCTCCTACGTCAAGGCTTTATAAACAAACAAAAACGCATGTACGTTATATAGAGCGTTCTGGAGTACTAACCATTTACATCTGTTAAACATGAACGGTTCACGTTTGCTAAATTGTGTACAATCAGTTGACCCTTGACATGTGCATAGACTTATACTACATTGTTTCATGCACTTGAAATGAATAAAGAAAAGCCTTTCTATGGCGACAATTAAGATTGTTCTTTGACACATGTACCATAAACAAGATCATCACTATGATAGCTAATTTGACACTTTTTTTGATTGTGATCACAGTTTACTTAGCGTTTATAAGATTGAACAACTTCAATGCGCACTGAAAACATTAAAGAAATCGTTACTTAGCTCCATTCGACACATTTCTATTTGAAAGATTCTTTTGGAAGGAGAATCTTGTTATGCTTTGGAGGCCGTTGGTGCTGAGCAACGTGAAAGGTGCAATATAAAAAAAAAACTTAACAAAAGCGCCATAATCCAGTACGGAGCAGCCATTCCGATGCACAATAAAGGAGCAAGGCAGGTAGGCGTCCATCCAGCATTCGGCATGTAAAAACACAATATGCAGCCTGATTAACTGTAAATACTTGCATTGAAATAAGTAAAACCGAGAATGACTGATTATAGTGTATTAGAGATACACTGTGTCTACATCTTCGAGAAAACATAAAAAAAACCTTGGTACAATCTCTTTCTCTGTCTTCAAGTACAAGTGTTTTTTCCCCCTGTAATTCACCCAAAAAGAAAATTAATTTAGTCATTTAACTACCTTGAAGCCGTTTCAAACCTGTATGCCATTTTTCCATGAAACGAGACTTTAAGAATCTTTAAGTACAGTTCCGTAAAACTTTTTTCTAAAGATCGCGTCAGGTTTCTATGGAAGCCCGTTTCCGCCACTGAATAAAAAAAAAGGTAATTGCGACTTTTTATCTCGCAATTCTGACTTTTTTTCACAGAATTTCGTGATATAAAATCGCAATTGCGAGTTAAAGTCCAATTTTGAG